CACTCACCCTGTGTCACTGCTCCTCACCTGTCCACCCCCTGCTACAGCCTTATTCCTATCTAGCATGCTGCCATCTGATGGATTTTTGTTTTCTGTTAAGGTCAGTTGACAAAAGTAACAAAACCCTTTGTCAGCTTTTCTCTAGTGGTTTTGGGAGCAAAATGGAACCTTGCAAATTGGTGCTCAAAGTCTTGAAAATGTAAACCTATAAATTCAAAATCATTTAGAGCGACAGAAATTTTACCTGCAACTACTTTAAAATCATTGACAAAATGACAAAATGACAAATGCTGGTTTTTACTGTTGAAATATGGACTTTGACTTGGGGCAACACAAACAATTCCCTCTAACTTGATTGTACTGGGATCTCAAGGCTCAAGAAGCTTGAAACCTGAGCACATTAAACACATCTACATGACAAAACTATCTGGCATGGCTAGATATCACTAAAGGAAGTGACATTGGTGACATGATCCTTTGAATTGATTTTTTTCTTTTCATTTCTCATTTGCAAGCTTTTATTTCTCCTTGAAACTTTCCTTCTTGCTTCTCTTTTCTGGTCACCTTCTTTCTACTGTATATGTATTTATTGTCTATGACTGTATAAGGTTTGATTCTGTCTGCCTTCTTATTTCTGTTATTTGCTTGTTTTCCTTTTTGATTATTCTCTTTTTATTGTTTTTCTTCTGATAGAACAACACTTTCCAGTTGTTCCTTTCTTTTTTTCTCTTCTTTCTTCTCCTAATTGTTTTCCTTTTCGGTGCTCTGCTCTTTTCCCTGTGCTCTATTCATCTCCTTTCTGTTGTCACATTCTTTTTCTTCTGTCTTTTTTTTGTAAATACCACTTCTAACCTCGCTTACCTCTCCTTTCCCAGTCTGTTTTCAGTATACAACACCTTTGTCTGTTAAGTTCTTTTTTATGTTTCATGTCCTGACCACTCAAGCTGTGCTAACATCTTGTGTATACCACCTTCTCCTCTCCTCCACCCCCCTCATCTCCTTTATCCATCTGCATGGTACAAAGATCGATGGAGGAGAGGGGGGAGAGGAGTGTAATATGAAGAAGGAGAAGACTGCAGAGATGTACAGTGGTTTGATAGATGAATACAGATCATGGCAGTAAGAAGACTGCTTCATTGTTAAACCGACACAATAAGCACTGGCTGTACGTAGATGCAGTTATGAAATATTCCTCCTGACAAATACGGTATAGAAATGCTCTAGTGACAATGTATACAAATTACAAATAACAGCTGTGGCAGTATATTGCCAAGGCAAGTACAGCTTCATCACTCTCCGAGCTTTCACACATCTTTGCTTTCCCTTGTCAGCAGACCTCGCTTATTCAGAGATTTGTCGCATGTCATCACTATACAGCAGTTATACTCTAAAATATCTCTCACAAAAGACAACAAACCAATTCTAAGATGGTAAAAAAAAATTAAGAAATGAGACTGAATTTCTTAAGAGACATTAGAAAACATTTTTGCCAAGTTCAGCGCAACCTGTAGTGCTTTCAGTGGCGCTTGGCTATGAAGCTAGACACATCATTGCACCTTCTAAACCTTAAAGGATAAGGCCTGTGAATTTTTATATTAACAGTATTTTCAACACTGCCCATACAGAGACTAACACCAACAGTGATTTGCCTCTACTCACTGTTAATGTCTGTTCATCTGTCAGTCCTGGATTAGCTTATTTGTCTGTGCCGTAGACCGCCATTGTTGTTCAAAAATGATTAAAACACGTCGATGAAACACATCGCTGCACTGGGTGGCATATTTTGTCATTATGAAACAAGACCTGCATATTTTTTTTATGTTTCCCCAAAGGTTCCAAACAGCCATAACCTTTTACAGCACAAGTAAGTGAGACTCAACTGTGCATGGACAAGATCTTTGGATATTTTTTAACAAAAATCAGGGTCTTCTGTTTCATTATGAATAAAAGTGTCACCAAGTGCAGCGATGTGTTTCATCAATGTGTTTTTAATCATATTTGAATAACAATAGAGGTCTGTGACACTGACGAATAAACTAATCCAGGACCAACAGTGACAGACATTAACAGTGAGCAGAGGAACCTCATGGCTGGATTGAATCTCTGTATGGGGAGTGTATAAATTACTGTAAATATAGGAAATGACTGGCCTTATTCTTTAACAAACCCCTGACGAAACAAGCTAAGCCCTACTTGATTGTGAGCTGTGTCCTTTTCATTTGTTTGGCTCCAAGACATAGTGTAGTTAATTTTACTCTAATGTCAGGAAAAAATAAAGTGTAAAAAAAAAAAAACATATGACATTTGAACCTCTACTTTTCACAGTTCCATTTTGTTTCAATTTGAGGAGATAATGTGGTCATAAAAACACAAAGCTTTTTTCAGTGACTATTAGCTTTTGGCAGAAGTGATTAAAACAAATGAAACTGTCTCCTTAGAGAGTGTAAATCAGGCCTGTGGGTAAGAACAAATTCAGTTCAAATTAAAACAAAGAAAATAAGTTAAAGCCTCTTAAAGGTTTAATATGTTTTCCAAACACATATTTAAAGCACTGATATTCTCAGTACTGTCCTAACTGGTGTGTTCCAGATTTCACATGTTTTAACACTGTCTTCTACATCTCTGCTGCTAAATATTTTGTCCCCAGAACCTTTGTTTTCTATCTTCTCATAAAAAGTTGATGTTCTCCTCCAGATCCCTGATTGCTTTAATTTTTCTATCCTCCTTGCTCTCAATATTCCCTTGTTTCCCTTGCCCTAAATGACATTGTTCTTCTAGCCTAATACAGTATTTTTATGTTCTCTTTTCAAACCTGTGTGCTCCTGTTCTCTTGTTTTCTAGAGCCCTGATGTTGTTGTTCTGAGTGGCAGGTAAATGAACGTCACCACCAGGGAGAAGATGGTGAAAACTCTGAAGGAAAAACGCCCTATAGCTCCTCTTCCTGTATCTCCTGCTTATTGTTCCCATTACTTTGTTACCATGAATATCATGGGGTTATAGACCTGCTGTCTGGTTTACTCTAAACTGCTTTTCCTGGTTCTCATGTCTGGTTTGGATGGATGACTGTATCAAGGCCCAGGGTCTATCTGGCTACTCACTGGCCAGTTGCTGCAGGATCCAACAGTTGGTGTGATCATCTACAGTAATTCACTTTTAATGAACAGCACTCATTAACTGTGGAGTTTTCCAACTTTGAAACATCTTGTTCAATAGGAAAGTGGATGCAGTGACGGCAGATCATTTAAAAAGCAACATTAAAATGCATATGATATGTCAACATAAAAACAGACATAAAGTGTCAGTGATTTTTGCACCATCTGGAGCAACATCAGCATGCATGGACAGATACCAAGTGGAAGGAAAAAACAGACAAACACTAAATGGCTAAACAGCAAAACTTGGATGCATAAACAATCACAGTCAAACTGGATATCCACGATGGCAGATCACATAGACAAAACAGGAATAATGTCACAGAAAAAAAGCATCTGGATGTGTCTGGTTTTGGAAATGAACATATGTTCAGTCCCTGCTTCTGCAACTAAACATAAGGGCCCCTCAATGTGACTTCACTTTATTAAACCATTGTAATAATGAATTCTGTTAAACCAAACTGAGCTGATCCTAGCTGGGCTGAACTGGAGCTGGATCTTTACCTCCTTCACTGGACCCTAATATCTCTCAATAAGGAGTTTTCCTCTGGAAAGTACATGCAGTGCGTAAGGAAACCTGAAGAGAAATGGGTTGACCCAAGCAGACCTGAATAAACCTGGACCCTGTGGAGCCTAAACTGGAGTTGTACACTAGTAAGGGATTCAGACTGTGCGATTATCTGATGCAGACTAAACTGCACAAGACAAGACCAGCCTGTTAACTACTGATTTAGTCTATCCCTGTGGTCTAAAATCAATCAACTGCTTTCCACTGGATAGAACAGGTGAAGACCTTGAGGACCTTTTACAGCCTCTCTCCCATTTCTCCAGGGCCACTTAAACAGGTGAGTAATCTACTGATTAGCTTATTGAACTAACCAAACAAGCAGCCAAGTGAGAAGCTCTATCACCCACAGACCAGGGCTCATTAATAAGTGTGACATATGGTAAACCTACAGGCATCTTGGTGGTATATCCCGTACTTCTCCATGGATTTCTCCCGGCATAACCTACTAGGTTGACACAGGGCATACTGCTTTGTTTGTCCACTGTATTTTCCTTTTGTGGGTCTCTGTTCAGAGGAGGGAGGGGCTGCTCCCCTCTTACACACCAGTCAGATGGGCAGAGGGAGAAAAGACAACATGAAGGATCACTCCCTAGGGCAACAATCAGCCAGTAGTGGAGACTGTATGAACAGTTTACCAAACTGCTGTTGAACAAGCAGAACACAGACTTGCAGAAATGTGACATCTTCACCACTTGGCCCCCGGTCCACTCACTGAAGTCCCCGTTTTACCCCTAAACCAACAAGTGAAGTCCCTGTTTAACCTCAAAACCGGTGTAAGTGTCGCTTTATACACTGTGCTTGTAATCCTAATGATTGAGGTGTGAAGAGGTGACATTTAACCAATTATGGGCGACTGCTCTGCAAGTACACACCCCCTCCACCTCCCTATTCCTGGTACTTGATTTTAAGACTATATTCTGAGGGGCACCGAAATTTGGCTACTGGCACGCACCCATAAAGTGGAAACAGAGCAGAACCCGAGGCGAGCGTTATTCGATTCTACAGGTTTCGGTAGGCTCCTATAATGGAAAACCCCCTTTACATTCTGCAGTGTCTACTCCTGCCATGAGTGGTCTGTAACCTAATGAGGGCAGTGCTTAAATGAGCACCATCTAATTGCTGTGAGCTAGACAATTAGAGAGTCACCCTGGCTAAACGATCTGCTTCGTTACTACTCTCTGCTGACAATATCACAACGGGCGATAGGAAGTGCATCCCCCCCTCCTGTTTGTTTCTTGCTCTTTTAGTGTCTGAGTCACTCCTTATCTCATGCTTCTCTCTCCCACTCTGTCCATCAGATGCCTTGTTTCTTCCCTGCCTGCCTGAGGCAGTGATCGGATACTGTGGGAGGGGATATGGTCTCGTCTGTCATGGACAAAAGCTCATGTCTGATGCTGCAGAACTTAACTCATTCAGTCCACTGGCTGTCAGCATAAAATTACACATTTATTAGTGGTAATCAACAGCATATTCTTTTAGCAGTCATATTTCAGAAATCTAGTTACTCGCTAGATGGTGAATTGCTGATATTTGACATAAAAACAGACACATGATTACTACCTGGAATTGAGAATAACCAAAAAAAGCAGCAAAGCAGAGTTTGGAATGGTCACACACCTCGGTTCCTCCCATCATAGACTAATTACACTTTTATACTATAGTGGTATGTCTCTGGCACCCCTTTTGTTTCAACAGGTAATATATGAAATCATTTTAAAGCTCCTACATAAATGGAAACACTGTTTAACTAATTTGCTTACGGGGATTTATAATGCTACAACATAAATTTTACCAATTCAGGCTTTATAGCAAAATCATTTACTCTGACAGCAGGTCAGCGTAAACCAAAAAGTTGGTTGATGACTCATTTTCTCAGTATGACTAGACAATATTTCCAAAATAACGTAATTTACTTTCAGCTTGAGATGACTGATTCAGGCTGACACCCATGGATACACACCCGCACACATAAACTGTGCACACTGCATTTTGTTTTTGGAATGAGAAATTATCCGAAAAGAAAAATAGAACAGAAGAAAATGGAATGATGAAGAATGTTACAGGTCAGATTTGGTGGATTCACAGGTCTCCACATGAACTAAAATCAGAATGGAGAGTCAGAACATAGCTTACTGTTTTTTTTTTCAATTTATAACTTTTATCTACTAATTTATGTTTTAGGTCACCAGTGGCCTAGCAGTCAACACCTTTTTATACAACTCTAACATTCAAAACACAGATAACATATCGATGTAGCACAATGACTTCTGCTGTGTTTTGACTAGCACACCAGTGATGTTGTTTTCTTCTTCTAAACAATGGTTATACGATGTCACAGGGACTGTCAGTAATGACAACTGTCTCCAGTCTTAATTTACATTTCAATAACAAAGTGACACAAACACTTTCATTGTTCATTCAGTAATCATAGAGGTTTAACACTCAGTCTTTCTAGTCCTGCACACAGAGGGGCGATTAAGAACACGTCAATCATAGCTATATTTTCTGATACATCTTTGATTGTGTATCTACAGTGTGTATGTGTGTGTGTGTGTGTGTGTGTGTGTGTGTGTGTATGTGGCCTTGTTATTCTATACTTCTGGGCACGGAAAACCAGGCACATGCTAGCTTTGTGGGGACCGCTGTCACTTGTAGGGATGAGAAGCTGGTTCCCACAGGGTAGTTTGCCAAATTTAATGAAAATGATGTGATGTGTAGTGAAAGCAAATGTTGTCTTTGGTTAAGGGTAGTGTAAGCGGTAGGCAAGTAGTAGTCGGTAAGGTTAGAGTCTCCAAGAAATCAATGCAAGTCTATGTAGGTACCCGGTAGGCAACAAAAACAAGGATGTCTGGGTGTGTGGGGATGTGAGAACAACATGAACACAATGAGTATAATTACAGACACCAGAAGCTGTTTACACAAACAAACAATTCCTCTCTCTGTTGTTGCTGGTGATTGTTTGAGCCATCTTGTCCACATTTCTTACACGCATACACACACTCATACACACACGGCAGAGAAAGTGGGGTGGGGGAACAGAGAGAAAGAGAGACAGCATAAGACAAATACGCAAACTGAAAGCATGGATTAAAAATAGATCTCCTATGAAAAAGTGCACACTTTCTCAAAGTGCCCTCAGTCCAAGGAGCATCGGGTCTAGCCTCTTTGTCTTAGACATTACACTGGTTGCAGTTGTTTTTGTTTTCATCCACACAGAGTGTAGATGGACCGTTTATAGGGTTGAAAAAAAAAAAATCAATCACAAATTTTTATAAAAGGATCCTGTATTGATTCATAAAATCTGAAGGTCAATCATTGCATTTGTACTTTTTCTCAGTCAATATGCATGTCTGTGCTAGATTTTCTGTGTATGCAGTATGGACTTACATCACCGCCAACACGGTTGAGGATGCACAAAAGTTTTGAGCACTATTCAGTTTGTATATTAGAATTGGAGGGCATGCAGGCATGGATTTGTAAGAGCAGATTTATATTTGTTCTCACATCTGTTATCTCAGGATTCTGTCCTCCCTCACTCTCAAACCTGTTCTTGTGCCTGTACGCTCTCAATTCTGATTTGCCACCTGAATAGCGTTCAATACTTGCTTTGTGCACTTTCAAAACATTTGGCGCCAACAAACTTTAGCACAAAAATCCAGTGGAGAAATCTGTGCCTGAGCGCTCACAGATGCTGAGCTGCAAACCGAGTAGAGCTCAAAATGTGGTTGTGCACCCTCAGACGTTTTTGGCAGGTATCTACTTCCATAATGCAGTGGTTATCTGTAAATGGCTCAGTCAGGGCTGGAGTCTGCGTGGCACGGCTACTTTCGAGAAATCAAGTTATTACAAAATTTACAAAATGGTTATTTTACATTAAGTTTAAAAGTAGGAAAAATGATAACTGGCTCTATTAGCAGCCTTGATTCACAACAGTCCCATAATCTGTTAATTAGTTAGTCTTTGTGGATCCACTGAAGTTTACAGCACTGACATGACTCAGGATGCTTACCTGACTCTGACCATCTCACAGCGGATCCAGAGATCATAGCTATGAAAGGGGCAGATTGAAAAAATATTTTGTACACTGACTTGATTTGATTTGTTTTAGAGTTATTAACTGTAGCTATGAAATGTGACAGGATGTTGACCAAACATGTGTGGATTCTACTTTATTCATCTGACCCTGCGGGGAGCTAGCACTGGCTAGCCAACTGGCTGCTGATGTTTTATCAAGACAAACACTGATGATGAATTAGTGAGCAGACATTCGTCTTCTGCCCTGTCTGTGCTCAAAGTGATTATTAGAGTGTATGTCTGGACTTAGCTGAAGCATCTACCAGTAACTGACTGGAAAACTGTCCAGGATGTACCCTGGACTGCAACTAATGTAAGCTGGGACAGGCTACATCCACAGTTTGGAAAACCCTGAAATGTGTTTAAAATGTACTTATAATGTACCTTTTACACAAATTTATAGTGTTGCTTTGAGAAGCATTTTGCACAACACTAGTATTTATCTGATGTAACTGAATCATCAAAAAAATCTAATCAAATCTATTCTGGTCTTTGTGAATCAAAATGGAATCAAGAGATCATTGCAGAGATTGAACGCCAATTGGATAATGTATTTTTAACTTTTGAAGTAAAAATCTAACTGGCTTGTAGGCAGGTTCTGTAATGGAATACACTGATTTTGCCTTGTAGCCATTTACAGTGTCTGGTTCATTACTGTGATCTCCCTTGTTACAATGAGTATGTTTGTCTTGTTCATTCCATTCTGACTTTTTTTTTATAGAACTGTTAAAATGTTGAACCTATCTGGCAAAGGTTCAGCTTCAGAAACTTCAGAAACCTTGACACACCTGAACGTGATACTCCAATACAGCATTTTATTCTGATTTGGTTATATGTAGCTGCAGTATGTGGTTAAATACCTCAAGTCTGCATCAGGATCTCTATGCAGGAAAAAAGTCAGCACTGTCATCTCTAGAGGAAAATCCAGGTTTTATTTCCCTTTCTTTCTCTCAGTCATGAAAGTGAATGGAGCTTGCTCTAGAAGATGCTCTGCAGACACCTGGATGATGAATGACTGATAAACGCTGTTCACTCCTCCATGACACCATCCACTGTTCTTTCCATCCTCCCTATCCATGACTCTGTAAGGTGTAGTGGTCACCAAGGCACATAAATACCTTATTATTGTGACTGATTTATGGCCATCTTGTATGATTACAATTGGGGGAGAAGGAGGATGCTATTGTGCACTATTGAAGTGTT